AAGGCTTGTTACTTACAGATTAGTGATACATGATCTTGCAGTTCAGCGTAAGTAATTATGTGTATGCATGTATGATCAATTAGTGAAACATCGCCTCGTTCATTCGGCTGTCTTGATTTGAGGTAAAAAGATTGTTTTGTTTTTTTTATTCTCAAAACTGAAGCAACTGTTTTTATTTTTATCCAGTAGAATTTATTAGTAACGATTGCTTTTTTCTCAAATAAGTATTCACAGTCGTGTACTTGCCGGCAATTGTAAAAATAGTCTTTACGTCCATGTTAATGCTAGTTTTGAATGAAATAAATCCTACATGAAAGACAAAAAAAACGTTTCATCTTATTAAGGGTGTAGTGTAGTCCAATTTATTTTGGACCAGTCGTTGAATGCTTTTCTATTTTTTCTTCTTACACAGTTTGAGTTCGTCGCTGATTATAATGCACAAACAATCTATATTGCATAAGATCGCTGTATAAAAGATGACGAGAAAAAACAAGAAAATACAAGAGAAAGAAAAAAAGACAAAAATGTTATAGTTATTTCAAAAAGTTGATTCGAATAGAAAACAAAAGAAAAAAATTGTGTTTCATTTCCTTTTTCATAACAAAAAACCTATCCCAACTAAAAAATTGGCAATCAAGTCTTGTTCAATAATGAGTAAAAATCTCTCTTCCCCAAACAAATACTATTCTTTAACTGCTTATCGGAGCGAAAAAAAGTCTTTTTTTAAGTATTATATTATACTCTAAAAAATCATGCCATTTAGAAAAGACGCATTGACTATTAATAATCACACATGAAAGAAACAAACTATTCAGATTCGTCATGTAAAAAGCAATTTCGTGATATATGATTTCATATTATTTTGCATTGAAATATACAGATAATACATCAAGGATACTTGTATTTTTTACATTTTTCATCATTATAATTATTCGATCGAACGAATATAGATTTGAAAAGAACTCAGATTAATATAACTGTTAACATAATGATTTGCATTACCAAATACAGTGATGTCGATTATCACTAATTAGCAATTCACTTCATTAATATTATACGGGCTTGGTTATTTTGTAAACGTATGACTATTTTAGATTATATTATTGATATTAGTATTTTTTTTCTACGACTATGTATTGCTTTTGTTTTTAATGTTTTTTTCTTATCGCTATCGTACTTTATACACAGTTTCTCTTTTAGGACTGAATAAAATATTTGTATTAAAATTATACCAAAATCAATGGCCTCATCTTAACAAAATACATGATATTTTGTTCAATGGATCAAAAGAATGGCTGCAATTTTTTTTCTCATACCTGTCTTGGATTAAGATGATAAACGCATTATATCGCATTTCTTTTAATTGATCAAATGTTTTCAAGTAATTTCAAATTTAATTTGCAGCCTGTAAAAAATGATTTGAAAAAAATTTAACGTATAATTATTATTCGATCAAGTCAAGTTTACCATAGTAGTTACATAACTGATTAATTGTATACTATTTTATTGATGGATAAGACAGCATAAAATGGAGAGTTTTATACGTGGAAATCTAATATAAATCCATTAATAATTGCTTTATCAAGAGTATCACTGTTTGAATGATCTATAATTATATAATCACTTACAGCAAAAATAATGAATTATAAATCCTTTTACTTACAATACGACTATTATAATTATAAATGTTGTGTGAGGACACAAGTTGCACTGTTTCGTTGTATATATACTACGATGAAAGCTTCTGATTTTCTTCGCCTACTAACGGTGTTTTTTTCCCGTTCTTACGTTTGTAGCTTTGAAAACACGCAGTTGGAAAATACCGAATTTTTTTTCTTTTCTTTTCAGATTTCTGTATCAAAAATTAATATTAAATGATGCAACAATCTTGAGAATGGTACATTAGTTGATGCTGATTGAAACTCCAGTAGATGTGTTAAGATCTCTGTATTGCACAATTTTTTTAAATTTCCTATGCAGTGCGTCATGTACCCAAAGTAAAATCTCGATATTGAAATTCGTCGGTGGATGAATTAAGTCAGACAAATTTCTCAGCTAAAATTTATATTAGACATATTTTATTTAAATTTCCGTTTGTTGTTATCTGATATAGTATGAAAAGCTTGTTAAAAATACTTGAAAGTAAATATTGATCAATAACAACACTTCAATAAATGCTTCCAGCGATGAACAGTTAGCAAAAGCAAAATGCAAAATTTTTAGATACTGAAATAAATAGTATTAAAACGAAACACTGATAACTCTCAATTATCATAAATTGTAATTATTTGAATGAACTTATTTATTTTTATTTTACGATAAATAAAGCACAAATCATGAGAAACGGTTGCAAAGGAACACTTTGATAGTGTCTCCCAGAGCTCTGCGGGACAACCAAAACGTTGTCCCGTCCCGTCCCGTTCTGCCATGTGTATGTAAGTTTTTTTCCTCTATGTACAGTTGGAGAAGTGCAGCTAGTTTATATGTTTTTCATGTGAATAATTTATTTTACTATCTACCTTTTTAAATATTACATCTACATCACAATAATTTGACAAAAAAGAAAAAGAAAAATTTAACAAGAGCTACACTCTCGTTGAGTAACTCATCCGAGAAAAAGTATATCACCATTATGATTAATGATGGTGGGAAAACCAAAACAAATTCCAGCCGTTAGATGTATGCTTGCCTGTATTATCTATAATAGTATATTGACTAGATTTCGTTTCGAGCATCAACTGAATTTGAGAACATGTGAGTTTATTAGAATCATCAGGAGAAAAGATCGATGAATTGAGCAGAGATAAATTGAAATCACGAG